AATGGTCGAAATTTTACTTAATAATTAGTGCGAAATTAGCAGTATGGTTGATAAACCTAAATGTTACCTCCTGTTACTAGAAAAAGGAAAAGCTGCTCCAGGTTTCTCGAAACCAGAACAGCTGTTCAAATTTTAAAAAGTTGCTCAAAAGTTGCCGAGCACAATACACGTTGAGGTCTAACCAATATAGCCCATTATAGGACGAGGCCAAATTCGATTATACACAACCTAGCTACACAACATCACATATTAAGCACAAATTACCATGATTTTGTAAATAAAATCCCTTTAGGCAATTTCTCGCATTTTCCACAAGTAAATTAGTCAAAAATGGGTTTATAGGTCACGATAAAAAATAGTTTGATCCCATGCATGCGTGTTATTTTGACCTATGCAGTAAACGCAATATCGTATACTTCGATCAATTGGGCGTAGCAGTGTAATCTGATTAGGCACTAAACACGCGTGATGCGTTAATTTCACACAAAATTACTGTTTTCAGTTATTTCACGTGTATGCCGTGAAACATGACAACTTAAAAAGTGGCTTCATGAGGAATGGTGGCGTTTAAAGTGTTGGCTTGATAAACCTTCTACTTTCGTGTCGGTTAAAAAGTGACTTTTTATGCTGCTGTAGGTGGAACGTAATAGTCCTAATCAGCCTAATAAGATAGCGTTAATGAGGACATACTTTCACAATCATAAGCCTGTTATTGCTGATGCAACTAGGAACTAATTTTCGGGAAAAAAATCAAACAATTTTTTAACACTCTGTTGGTATTTTAGATAACGATTTTGAGAATCTGCGATATCAAAACACCATTGAAGCGCTATTCGCCCATGAAATAAAAAAATACATGACAATCCCGAGTATTTTTCATCATTTTCATCTCAGCAAATGTTAACTGTAATCACTTAAATTTTTGCATGCTTACTTAGTATAAATTTGAGTAGCAATGTAGTTGAGGTGTAAATTACCTTACGCTAAAATATACAGACGCCCAAGATGCACAACAGCTAATCATGCATGCGTTATATAATATATTATACACTAGATAGACTTTATAAAGCGGTTAGGAGATGCGTATCTGCGCATCTAGGTTGCTGATTTATTCCTGATGAAGCTGTCTCTTATCGAGGCCGGATCTTAAATTGAATAGTTTTATTTTGTGTCGTATTATATAACAACCCTGTAGTAGGAACCTCTCTGCTTATGCGTTAAGAAATCAAGTAAATTTTAATATTTGAAATTTTGAATGGTGATTTATAATAATGTATTATATATCTAACTGAAATAATCAAATTGTAGAAAACACCACGTGTAAATTCTATATGGATCGTTAATTGCACTGATTAAGGCTCGGGTTAACAGACTAAAAGCTCTGCATATAACAACATGGTGTTTTCTACAAATTGATAATTCAAGTCAGATAAATTTTCCCAAGCACTAGCTTGTTATTGTTACCATTTGAAGATTATTGTGAGATCATCTATAAACAGAGCAGTGTTCAAAGTTGTTCAGAGGTTGTATGGTAATTTAAACCGAATGATTAAGGAAGCTGTACCGACTAAATTGTGTATAAAATTCTAGATGATTGCATGGCGTATTGTTCATTGACGACGTCCTCTAGAACTTGGGAGCTCTGGGACGTCGGAAATGGCGTTTCTATATACCCATATTTACATCTTATAGTTCGATTAGGCTTCAATGAGTTACTGTCTTATATGTTGTTCACTTAATTGTTATTTAAAATACGCGTAACACAAGTGTAATTAGATATTCATCTCCTTCGTTCCAAAAATTTTGGGAGTACCATTTCAGTTAGTCAAGTATGTTTTTGGTTTATAGCCCATTTTTATTTTCTGTTTCACTTTTACACTTCATGCAAATTATCCGTAATATTGCTCCTTAGTCTTCCAAAATCTATTTCTGCCGATTAAAAAAGTATATCTGCCGACTGATATAGTCCATAATAGACTTTTAGGTGACACCCTAGTCAACAAAAGATGGAACTTCTACAACTACTTGATTTAGAGAATGTTCTGATGTATGAGAGCCCTTATTGGAACATTCGTAACTAATTTACTCCTTCACATCTATCAAAAGCAGTATCGGCCCTAGTTACTGAAATAACACCAAAATCGCAAGTGAAAAGAGGCCTTTATAGGAAACTGAACTGCAAAACTGGAACTGCATTAACTTTTAAAAAGCTGCACTAAGATACCACAACCTTGCTAGTCGACTATTGGCATTTTTTAAAATGTTCCGCATTTTTAGTATAGTCACTGTTGATATTCAGTTACCACATGTGCGCTAAACGCATGCGCAGTTTGTAAAATAGAGATTTAATAATTTGTTTTCAGTCATAAAAATCATTCCTAATTATTGAATGACTGAATTTTCTATTATAAAATATATGTGGAGGATGGTCAGTTCAGACAATAAGACATGAAAAAGTCTTATCGTACTGAAAAACGTACGATTGTTATTTGTTGATGAAGGTTTATTTTACTATCCATGGCAATACCGTCTTGATGGAATCAATGATGAGATGGGTTTGGTAATGTAGTCTTATACCGAGGAAGTTATTTTCCAACCAATTCGATTAAACATGCAGGAAAGATAGACATTTACAAGTATTTAATCTTTCGGAAATAAGTAAATGTCGCCAAATACGAGTGTTGCGTTATTAACACTTGAAGCTTTTCCTGTATGATAGTGCCTCTATAGCAACGAATGTCATCAACTTTGAAAAAAGCACCTTTTGCTTTTCCTATGGCTTTTCGGCGTGAGTGAACTGAAGTGGGGTGGGTTAATCCATACTGAATTGCGATAAGGAACCGTATAGATATGCATTTCGCTGTAATAAAAAAGATGTCAGTCAGATGTCGATTTAGCTAGGGTAAAAATCTTCTTTTAAATGACACATGAAATCCCAGACATCATGCACTTTCTCACTTTAAGGTGCCATGTATGGGGTACAAAATCATTTTAGACAGATGCACCATCACTACCATGTCATTGTCACTATATCCGCTTTGATGAGATGTTGAATTTTGTAAGAAAGAATTTTCGTATTGAGCCATGACGTCTAGTGTAATGATACTTTACTAAACGCATGTTTTCAAACAAATACCTATATACATAAATATAACTATTATATGTGACCATATTTTATCGTATAAATTTTTTTATTTCTCTGGTGTATGACATAAATTTCAAAAACAAAATGGATTACAGGAAGTAGTAGACATGCAAAAATAAAAAGACGAGGAGCTACTCTCAGTCTGCTGGCTGAGAGCTCTGGCAAAATGGCGAAAACGCCTTGGAACTTTTTCTGCATACACCATGCAGGATATGCGGCAATAGAGCGGAAGAGACGATTCATGTTAATAACTGCGAAGAATTTGGCTTAATATATCAATTCATTGTCTGATCCCTTATTCCTATAACTCGTGAAGCAGGCCGGAATAAGGACTTTTCCAATAAATCTGAACAATATTTTTTTCGCTTCTGACCGCTATAAAATATAAGTTATAACATTTTGAATTTTTCATCACGAAAATACAATAGGTAGGTGGGAAAAAATTGTCTCTCAAATAGAAAATCGAAAACGCGGCAAACAATGCAATGCATAACAGATTATTTCTTTATAATGTCTAAAATAATAGATTCACGAGAAAAAATAAACACTGGTAAAACTATGGTAATTACTAATTAGCATAGAAAAACTATGATAATTGGTGTAGATATATATACATGAGAGGAAGGGAATAATAATTTCATACGGCATATAATTAGCCTCAGAATAAATTACCTGCATGTTCCAAGCATTGTCATCAGGACGCGCTAGTTCCGGCTTCCTGTGGTCGTGTGATAGTCATTGCCAGAATAAAGCATAACCTCACGATGTTATTATGCATTCGTGATCATTAGGTACTTCAACGACTCTCAATCAAGAAAGACGAGAATTAAAAAGGATTAGCACTTTCGGAAGTACGTGCAAATATTAATTATTTTGCGAGGATATCAAGTCTACTTCGACCCATTCAGATTATAGTCGTGATTAAAGAAGGTGCACTAACGCCCGTTTTAAGGATTGTGGTAAAGGAATTAATCAACACTGAACAACAAGGCACGAACACTTTTAACAGCTCTAAGCATTCATCTTCGCCTCACGCTAACGCTTATTAGCTTTTTACCTGCTGCCCCATGAACTCCGTCCGGGCCATTAAACGTCGAATGAATTACAATCTGAAAAATACTTGTATAGCTATAATATTCCAAAACGATATAATGAATATAATTAGCTGTGTTTCGTGTCATATTTTTAATGACCTGATTGAAGATGCCATTTCAGGGCCTGGCCGGCGTGATTAAGCGGACAATGAAATATACAAAGATTACTTCAATTCAAAGTCTTGCCAGTTTTAGGTGAGAATTTCGTAAGTGACGAGTACTTTTCTATTCTATTTTCGGGAACCCAAATTACAAATCATGTGTGGGAAGCGACAATTCTAATTTCGTGCAGTTTTCTGTATCATTCAGTTTCTCGCAGTCATTTGGAACAATCGCAGCGTAAATGGTGCACGGTTTTATGGTTTAGGGGAGGGGAATCGGTTTCATTATCCGTAATAAACATGCAGGTTGTGTAAATACTTGTATATACATTGTATAGAGAGGACTATTCTTCTAGTGTGTTCTTTTGCATTATTCTACGTGAGTGTGTTGTTGCTATGTAAACTAAATCTAAAAAAAAGCTTGCTAGACCTCTGTTATCTACCTGTGACATGTAAATGCATCACATTTTACCCACTTGTGGAATTTGAAGGCCGATTAGAATGACTGATATCGTATGGAATGCATTACGTCAGTAACAAAACGTGCGCGGCGAGGTGCCAGCGCGATGTATTATAATGACCATATGAACACCATGCCGAGTGATGACAGACGAATGTCTCGTAAATATCGCATTAATCAGTGCGCTAAAAACACCGTAGTTATTTTATCAGCTGACGCACAGTTGTAAATCGGATTGCCACTAGCCAGTTTTGGGTCAAAGCTGGCGCGCACTATTAGCATTATTATTATTGTACAGCGTATCAATAGAGGCAGACATTGAATGAGCAACGCAAAACGAAACATGGATATTATCACACGCCTTTTGTGGTGTCTCGGGTTGGTGATAACATTTTCAGGAGTTTGGGCAAGTAAGTCACGCGTGCCTGCATGTTTGTCATAGACCAGACATGTTCGCCAAAATTATATCCTAAGTTGTCGTCTCCTAAACAAGTCAAAGTACAGAATGAATTTGCGTTTGTAGAGAAAGCATGATTTAAAATGCAAGCCTAATGACTTGATTGCCTATATTTTTTGTGCACTTAACCTTTCAGCTGTGATAACAACTGCGATTTGTGAACTCCGGTTACTTTGCGTTCAAAGCTACCTGCGCGACAAAGGTTTTACTCTCGGTATTAGTCACTAGGTCGCATATAATTGATTCACAACAGGAGCAGCAAGGGATAGTAACAATTGTTATTCTTGGGAATTATTCAAGAACTATTCAAAAGCCATAAAGAGTGTTTCACAAGATGAAAACTTGATAGTTTATTTCTTTCTTGAAAGGTTTTGGGAGGCATCCATTTTGATCATCACGTATAATCTTTAGATTTAGATCCAAATCTCGCGTTCCATAGTCTGCAATAAATCTGTAGTTTTACTCTAAAGCTTAAACATTGTAGCGCATTGTTGAGTACATGATATATATTGTGAATTCAAGATGCTCTGATCAAGTTGCCAACACTGTGGTTGAATAGCCCAAGGAATCGCCTATCCTAAGAACATATGGCTGGGTGAATATCCTACCTGGGGCGACAGACATTTTTTATTTGCATGCGTATTTTGAAAACCTCCGTCTTGTGCGGGTTTAAGTATGTGTTATTCTACCCCACACATCCGACGTTCTGAAAGCGCAATCCTATTGTACCCTAAAAGCCAATCAAGCACTTGCAAACTAGCGAGCACTGTTAAATACTCGTAGCAGGAAGGATCAAGGATCATTAATAACTACAAGAATGCTTTAAACATAAACACTTGTATTGCTTTAGAATTTTCCGGAGTAATAGACCTTTAACACCATGTAACCTAATCGTGCATTATGTTCCGCTAGACGCAAGTTATAACAATAAAGAATGTTTATAAAGATAAAGTAATTGATTTTGAAGTTTTTGACTATCTGTAAGCTACATTTTCGCTAAACTGTGGTATTCTTTTCTATAAGGGGAATTGAATGATCAAGTCTATATTGTTAAAACTAGTTACAATCTTAAAATATATTTGCCCTCATGCTGACAAAAATGTAACCAAGGTGCCAATATTCTTGCTGTTGAGGGCTTTTCCGGACGATCAATTGCCAACTTTATCGATAAAATCAGTACTTTGTTTTGCTTATATACACATAATTAAATTCCACCCACATTGCAATAATTTTATTCAGAAAGCGCCAGCATTTTTTGTTGTGTTTCGTGAGTAGAGCTGCTTGTGTGGCAAGAAACTCTTGAAGTGTCTCGATTATTTGTCTGAATTTCACACTATGCTGGCAGTCTGGCACTCATTTCGCATAGAAATTAGTTAATACTATGGGCCGATTAAAGAATAAGTTATTTGTCTAACAAACTGTATATGATAATGAGTGGGAATATATATTATAAGCTAGTGAAACACCTTGCTTTATCTTGCATAGAGCCGAAAAGCAACTCTTGTTTAGCGTGAACAAGAAATTCTTTGACATTCGTCAATTATCAGCTTTAAACCATATAAGCTCAACATTTAATGAAATAATACATAACACAAGTCTGGAAAAATATGATATTCGTAGAGAAGTGGTAAATGCTTTCAAAGTGTTGATTCACGTGCGAGGTATTTCATAGGGTTCCGCGTGAGAACAAGGGAATGGATAATTTTGAAAACAGTATCTCTATTCTCTATTATGGCAAATATTGCATAGTTTCGCTATCCGTACAGCATATAGCTAGGTATAGGAGGTGATGTTTAGTGATACTTATAGGATAGCAGAATTCGCCGGTCTGCATGTACATATTTATAGTTCACGTCTTCGCATACGTTTTTTCCATTATACAGTAAACGACGCTGTCAACAAGTATGGAGTATGACTTAAGTGATATTGGTTAAATTTTCACTTGTGTTCGTTTCATCACAAAGAGCTCATGCTCTGTGATTTTGGTTTCGCTGATATTGAACGTCTATTGAGACTTTGAATGTTCCAGAGCAATTTGACGCACTCGTATAACATACTTATTGGACGCAGATACATGTTTGGATTTTGGAATAATTTGACGCAAAAAATACGCCAAGAATGTTTGTACATAGGTTGAGAAATATTCAGTCCCTGAGATTATATAAGGTATGCTATACATAGCGCAACAATTGACGCCGGTGGAAAGTACTGGAAAGAAATAAAAATTTAGGTATCCAGTAATGCTTTGAAATATTTTTCTGGGGCGCGTCACCTAATTCTTTAAGGGGGGGTGTAATTCACACGCGTCAAATCAAATGGTCATTGGTATAACACTTTGTTTATGCACGCGCATGGGATCGCGTGTATATATAAAAAACATGAAAACCTCGTATCAATCAGTGGCCTATCCCAATGAACAATGTACATCTATAATATTTACCATTAAATAGGTTTAAGTCATTTAGTATCAATCAAAATCGACGCCGTCGGAATTTTTGAAATAAATTTTACAAATTTGAACGAATTTTATTTCGTGTGTATAGTGACTGGCGTGCAACCTAATTATGTTCTTAGCCTTCGCCCATTTCCTGGCTTCGAATGATATAGGATGTTAAAATGATTGATTTTTAGAAAAAATTGAAAGAGATATGTTTAGTCTATGCGTGTTTGTAAATCGAAAGGCTTAATACCTTCATTTTCTTAGATAATGTTTCTTTTAGGATAATTTCGAGAGCAAACTTAAGTTCGTTTTTTTAATACTTAACTCGCGATTTTAATGTTTACGACGTTCGTTGTTCTAATGACTTCAATTGTAGCATGCATCACAATGCATGCAACCATTGTTAATATAATGAGACCATTATATTAAGTATGATGTGACATATACAGTGCCATGAATATGACGATGTATATATACATTGTATATAACTTTTATCATTTAATATATACGCTAGGTTTGTTGATTCAGTGATTAAGTTAATTTCTACGCTTTTTGTAATTCCATTTAAAGGTGAGGTAATTAATATAATCTCTATGACGAGGTTACAGATTATAAGAATTCGTACGTGCATGCATGCAAGTCCGTCCACGGTCACATTGAAAGTATTGAAACTTTAACGGAATTAAAAATCTACAAATGCCTGTGCATACTGACACGTATATATCCAGGGGTTTACATGTGCTTGATATGCATAATAATAAATGATAATAACAATGTCAAAGATAACAATGTTTTCTTTTTTAATAGCTTTACCGTAATCAATTCATATATTTCAATGCCTATACGCAATATAAATAATAAATATCCGATCGTATAAAAACGCGTAGGACCTAAATGAATTAATAAATTTGTACAAAGCAGCTTTATAGCTATCTTCAGAAGAATAGGTACGTTATGCTATACGTCTTTTATCAGTAATCATTACATTACGCACAGCGGCACTTCAACTTGCCAAAAATGAGGCAAAATCTCAAACTGTAGGGGATGTTTGGTAATTATTGCATTTGGTCATTATTTTCTTTGTATAGCAACCCAAAGGCATTATATTTCAAAGCTCATGCCTGACGTGAGCATAGCGTGCAGTAAATCTCGTTCACATCAGAAATCTTGTTATTTTGCTTGGCACAGAGTACCTATTAAAAACGTTAGTGACATCATTGTAGTAAATTAGAATTCTAAATAAGGTTTAATTAAATTTCCCGTTTTAAGCCATTTCCGACCATACCAAGAACACGTGAATACGCATCAGTATATAATTGTCTGAGTTTTGAATAACATCACTAGTGTATTCATTGAGTTGCCGCCACACACGACCACAGCACCGACAATGCTCAACAAAGAAATGCCCTTTGAAAGCGGACATTGAATCCATAATTGGCCCCAACTTTTCAATCACAGCTTCCTGAAATACATACTGTATAACAGTATAAGTAGTTTTAAGATTTATAATTAGCTTCTAGCTGTATTCCGGTAGTGTAGGCCTGCGTTGCGTTTTTATTTCGTAAGCAATTTTAAACCACGATTTCTTATTATTCTTAATGAAAGTACATAGCGCGGAATTATTTTCTAAAAACCGCTTTTAGGTTGGCCGTGATACTTAAAACAACCTATGAGGTGTTTTATGAGAAATTTGGTACATATTTATCAAATTGAATAAATATAATTTTCAAAATTATAACACGATAGTAAGCCACTATTTGTGAACAGACTATACGTATTTTTTATACAGCGAAACTTTAGATTTGTTGACCCATGCATGCAAACGTTCACACGTGCATGCTATGGTATTTTCGGTTACAATGAAATCTTAACTGCTAAATCTTGCGGTATCTTAAAATATTTGATGAAACCTGAATTTAGTATTGAAGATAAGGTTGTCATGATAACATAAGTGTATGATACATGCAGTAAACTGCATTTTCTCGAATCACTAGTACAATCTTAACCTACTGCAACATTTGTTCTTTGCCTAGCAGAAAATATGGTAAATTAGACAGAGCCGGCAAACAAGTCAGTGCCCGGCCATAAACTGAGCTCTTATATTTACCCTAATACAACAATTGATATCTTTCAAAAAATATTATAAATATCCCTTCTACAGAACGTATTTCTTGATCTAGATAGTCAGTCAGACAATGTGACGCCAAACTAAAAAATGTTACAACATAGAAGCATCGCACATGATGTTTATCTCAAAAAGTAACCCATGTGGTGCAGCTGAGTTGATTTTTTATTGTTTTCTCATGATATATCACAGTGTTATTATCACTTTAGGCCAATTCCATCATGCGATCCTGTCGGTCGATAAATTCATTTTGCCAGAGAATTCACCTAAGGCCATAGTCCAACTGTCGGCAGTGCATGCGACTGTAATTGTCTCTATAATTTAAGCAAGTATGAAATATTTGAAAAGTCGTACCTTTCAAAGAATTACGCGGAGAGTTAACATTTAC